GCAGAAAATGCCAAAATAGATGTCCCCCTCTTTCACGTTAAGTATCGACACGTGTACCGACTTCACCATTACAAAATTAATTATTCAAGATTGAGATTCCAAGAATGAGCTACATCACCATCACAACTACGATTTTTAGAGCTAAAGTAGCTTATGATAGTGTTGAATGGAGGACCACATATAATGTTATATTGTGTGAGCTTTGTTGGACCAACACAACAACTTATAATGTATGCATTTTGTTTCTTTACTTTGACATGTCTACAGCATTTATGTATGAGCCCATATGCATTCATGTGACTATTGTGAATAAAAGTCAGAGAACATAATGTCTTCTACTATCATAATGGTCTGCATCAACTCAGGAAAAAAAAGGTTGAAGTTATTATCAACTACGTTATTAGCGGTGGCAAAAAAGCTCGGAGGCTCGGACGGCTCGACTCTGAAAAAGTCCGAGCCGGGCCCGGTTCGGGCTCAGTGGAACCGAGCCCAGGCTCAGGCCGAGCCCCACTTTGGGGAGTCGGCTCGAGCCCGGCCGGCCCGTGGCCCGGGCGAGCCACCTATTTTTAAAAAAAAAAAAAAAATTTTTTTTGAAGGAAACCAAGAAAAAGTAAAAAAAATAATTAAAAAAATCAAAAAATACGAGCCGGCTCAGCCCACTAAGGCTCAGACCGAGCCTTTTTTTTTTGGTCGGGCTCGGCTCGGGCCAAAAAAAGCTCGGTCCAAAAAAGCTCGGGTTCGGCTCGGCTCATTTGCTACCATTATAGAATAGGGCTTCTGTGATTACACACATAGGGAGGGGCGGGAAAATTTTGAACCAATTTTAATCACGTGGGTCCCGCATCGGTACCCACCTCATGTGAGGGTCGATGAGCCTTCTGTGAACTAACCCTATGTACATATAGATTAAATATAATATTAAATAAACTGATATTATAATCAATGTTCCTCCATCTTGTCCAGTTGGACTTATGTGTCGGCTTAAGAGGATTTGTGTACTTATCCATATTATAGTGTTAGGATCTCGCACACATCCAATTTTCCATAACTAAACATCTCTATGATTATTATATCTTTTACTAGAGGACATTTATCATATTCTCTTAACAAACATATATATTGGCCTGACCATTATAACATTTCATATATAGATAGTTGATGAAATTAGGCATACAAAATTGAAGGAGGAATACTAAGAAAGACATTTATTTTGTATTCGATAAATTTTTTTTATTTTAGAAAATAATATTATTATAAAATTAATCCTACTACTTCTGATTCTGAGTTTTGACGGATGGAATTAGTTGTTTCGTCAATTTAAATCCTAAGCATGCTAGGCAAGTTGGTTGGTATTGCATGCTAATACATCTTAAGTCTCAATAGTCAATCCAAGCACGACAAGTTTATCCTAGTCGGAAAAGTCCCCGTCTCTATTTATGTCAAGCCACAGTCAGAAGATTTTGTAAATTTAATGTGTATTGTCTTCTATTTTTTTTCGAGAACCTTGTCTTCTCTAGTTTTAGTGGTTCCTCGGCTAAGATTTTAAATTCTTACAAGTAGCGAATCTCAAAGAATGTGAAGTAATAGTATTTGTACATCATATTTTACAAAAAAGATTCATTTACAGATTGATGACATGTAAGAGAGAGAAATATTTAAAAAAAATAAAGAAGGAAAAAAATGAAATCAATTAATACGATGTCCATCAAAAATCTGTAAATCACAATGTACAAATAGAATTAATCAAAATGTGTAAAAAAAAAAAATTATGAGCCCTAAAAAATATGTGATTAATTTGACCAAATTAAAAACACTAATTAGAACTGATGAATGCTCTCACCCGAGAGGATGTGCTTTTTGTTAGGATAAATCAAGTGCTTTGTGTACTTTTATATGCCTTGGTCCTCATTGAACTTTCCCTCCGGTAGACTTTCTCTTGCTTGCCTTACAGTCTCACATATCCAAAGCATTGGTTGAGATGGGCTTTCTCAGTTTAGCACTTAACCTAGACGTTGGGCTCTGCCATTCATCCATGTTTACGGTGGAAATTTAGGCATACACAATAATGCATGGATAGAAATTAAAATAGGAGAAATCCCCCCAAAAAATAAGATATTAGAATAATACTTCTAAAATTAATTAGAACTATAATTCCCGTATTAAGTACGCTCTCAATTTAATAGTATCTCTTCTCTCTCTTTTTACAGAATTGGAAGTTAATCATACTACAGGAATATCGGTTTAATTGGATATGATAGTGATTTTTTAATGAAAATGTGAAATTATAGTTTTTAGTAGTGATATAGCTTAACTCCTTCAAAAAGTGAACAAAAAGTGTTAAAAATAAGCTTATGTGTAAATACAAGGACACACTATTTATTTTATTGAGGAAATTGCATTTAATAGCAGCAATGAGAACTTAGCCTCTTTTTGACAGTGTTAAAACTTTCACTACAACAAAAATCACCATTTGCAACATGTAAAATGCAACATTCGGTAATTGAGTGTTGCTAAAGGTTTCTATAGCAACATTCTCAGAAGTAAATGTTGCAAGTAGCAGGGGTGAATTTATGTCATTTGTCTTGTGGGGTCAAAAATGAGAATTCAAAATGCTATTACAACTGTAGCCTACGCGTTTTCATACTCTGAAAACGTCGTATAATTACATAGTTATCAATGTTGTTAAGTACGTCGTTTTCAATATATGCAACAAAACTATCACTTAACCATTAATCTCCCATCCGACTGCGCAGTCAATTCTTGACAATCTTCATTGCAGAAAATACTCTCTCTACAGTAGCTGTAGCAACTGGAAGAATTAACGCCAATGTTACAAGCCGAAAAACTAATGGATACACTTCATTTTTTTTCGTTTCAACCAACTTTTCTATAAGATGATTAAGACCTCGTAAGCCTTGAAAATCTTCGGTTGTGCGCATAGCAATAATATATGTCTGAATTTGCTCTTCAAAAACCAAGATCTCTACTTGTGTAAAATCCTTGGGATAATATCGACACAACTGAATTAACTTATCCTTGTTGAACGCAGAAAATGAATTATCCGGACACAAGCATGCAACACAAAAGAGTAAACCACTATTTACCTCAGAGAAACGATCATTCAACTCTTGAATTTACATATTGATGATAGCATAGAAGATATCCACACGAAAGTGATGCAAATTTGTCATTCCTTGCGTGTTACGCCGTGAATGGCCTAGAGGTATAAAAATATCATCCACGTTGGGAACATCAATGTTGTACCTTTCACAAAAACAAGAAACCGTTCTTAAAAATGATTCACATTCATTGTCCCTCGTTGCTTGGAGTCCTTCTTTACATATTTTCACTAATTTCATAGCGTTGACAATATCTTGATCTCTCCTTTGTAATGATTTTGACAATTCATCTGAAATACCCAATACATTTTTCATAAGATGCAGACTAAATACAAAGTCAAATGTCAACATAGATCCCAACAAAATATACGCTTCCCCTCGCTTCCATAACTATAATCATCAGTAGCAATCATCTCAACAACATCAACTATAAACATAAGAATCAAGTTAAGTAAACAACTATAATGAGAGCCCCAACGAGTATCACCGGGTCGCTGAAGGGTAGTTTCTTAATTAAGGCCCTTTCCACTTGAGATTTCACCAATAGTCAACGATTTAACAACTTCAAGCCTCTTGTTCTCTCGAAGAAGATCACATCGCTTAGCTGATCCGCCAACGACATTTACCACTTTATTCATTAAAGTGAAGAAAGTCTCAATATCTGCATGCTTGTTTGTTATAGCTACAAGAGCTAGTTGCAACTGATGAGCAAAACGATGAATATAGAAAGCACTTGAATTCTCTTTCAAAATAAGTGATTTGAGACCATTGTACTCACCTCACATATTGCTTGCCCCATCATATCTCTGGCCTCTTAAACTAGATATACTTAAGTTAAATCTAGAGAATAAGTGATCAATAGAATCCTTCAGAGATAGAGCTGTGGTACTAGAGATATGTTCAACACTGATAAAACGTTCCATGACTTGTCCTTTTTCATTCACATAACGTAGAATGACTGACATTTGCTCCTTAACTGATACATCCCGTGATTCATCAACAAGAATAGAAAACAACCTATCACCAATATCTTTCATAATAACATCAAGTGTTTCAAATGCAATAGCACTCACAATATCCTTTTGAATTTTAGGTGATAGTAACTGAAGATTTTCCGGAGCATTCTTCAAAGAAACACCCTTAATCTCTTTATTATGATCACATAACCACTGCAATAGTTCAAGAAAATTTCCTTGATTTCTTGAATCTTCAGATTCGTCATGCCCACGAAATGCAAGCCCTTGTTTTAAAACCAATCGAACGCAATCAATTGATGCATTCAGACGAATTTGATACTCATCTTTCGTTCTTTTCGACTTCTTAAAGAGAACACAATCAATATTTTGTTTCTGATTCACAAAAGCCTCATTCTTAATCCGCGCTTGGTTGTGTACACTACCACTTTTCCCAACATGAGTTTGAAGCCTTCCTTTCTTTTTCCAGTTTGATAACCCTCCATCAACAAAAGAATCACCTCCACCATGCTCTTCACGATTTGGATTGAAAAGGTAACAATAAAAGCAAAATAGGCATCTTTTGCAATACTGTATTCCAACCAATCATGAAAGTCATTAAACCAAGAAGTCTTAAATCGTCTTAATAACAAATTTCCAAATTCTTTCTGTGGACACAAGTGATTTCGAGGCTGACATGGACCCCTTTGTACATATTCTCTTCTAATTTCATTATGAACATTAACATTATAACTCATAATTGGAGTTCTTAATCCAGGATTCGAAGGCAGTTGTGCTAAATCAATTTTATCTTGAACATCTATTTTTCTCCCATTATCTGATTATTCCCGCCCATCGTTTTCTTTTTTAACACTCGTTTCAACAATATTTTCCCCCACATTCGAACATACGGATTTTCGTTTAAAATATTTCTCCATGCCTGTTAAAAAACAAATTCAATACATAACTCTCTAGAGCTATGCTTGAACATATAGCTAAAATTCAAACGAAACAATATTTTCCCAAAAAGATGAAAAAATAAGATACTCTTTTCCATGTTGAAAACAAAACCAAAACTTCAAAATGCATCTATCTCTGACTAGTGGCATATAGAATTACAATTTGAATTATGCATTTGTATTAATGTTGCCTTGTAAGTTGTAAAGATAGTCACACAGCGACTTTTAAAAGAAATAGAAACAGTTGAAAAACTTACTAGAATACTTGGATTTTTTGGGATCTTTATGACTTTATTCACCACGACAATACTAAACTGAGCAAAATGGCTCCAAGCCTCCAACCTGTTTAGGATACAAAAAATCACATTTACCAACTACAAACCAAAATACTTTCATTCTTGATTGAATTTTTTATATACTATTCCGCAACCTATCGAGAAAGGGGGCATTATAGCATTGCATTCATTATCGATTTTAATAAATTAAAAAGCATAAAATTTCCAGTAGCTATGCCCAATGCTATCCATAAACCATTTGCTGTCAAAACAATTGGATGAAATATTGAAATTGGCATAGATAATTGATAAAATGCCTATAGGGGAGAATGGCGGACTTCGGCGGATGGCGATGGATGGCAGACTGATTGAAGAAGAACGGGGCGGGCTTCGGCGGATGGTGGACGCCGTCGACGACTCGGCGGTAAACGTTTCGATTAGGGAACTCAAGAGCGAATTCAAATTGGAAGAAATTGAAAATTAGAAATGAAGAAAGTCAGAAACCGTGCACAGGTAAAGGGTTTGGGAATTTAGCAAATTGGGTTTAGCCCTGAGCAAATGGGCTACTGGCTAGGTTGGAGGGTTTTCAATTTTTGAAATGGGTTACTGGGTTGAAGGGTTTGAAATTTTTCTAATGGGCTAATTGTTAGATAAAAAAAACTCAAAAAAAAAAAAAAATTGTGGGGTCATTTGACCTCACATGACCCCATGTGGGTCCGCCCCTGGCAAGTAGTTAACTTAATTGAGATTTTACAATATTTTTTAAATTGATGTTGCTAATGTTGCATTTTGCTACGTTTATTGAGTATTGTCAAAAGTTTTATTTATTGCAACGTTTCATGGCTATTGCTAAAAAATCGTTCTATAGCAACGTTTACTGACCGTTGCTGATATTTAGATATATAATTTTCCACAACGTTCGCTTAATGTTGCGAAATGGTTATATTTTTGCAACGTTTTACAAATGTTGCAAAAATATAAACTTATCGCAACGTTTATTAAACTTTGTTAATATGATGTGTAAACTAACTTTTCGCAACATTTATTAAGTGTTGTTAATATAAACGTTTCACAACGTTTGTTGAACGTTGCTAAGCTAACATTTTGCAACGTTTCATAAACGTTGCAAAAATATGATTATATTTAATTTTTTGGCCCATTTAAAATAGTCCACCAAAGTCCATCCTACCCAAATTCCATCACTGTCCAAAAAATACCTAACTCACACTCACGATTGCATAAGCCAAAACTCCGAGAACCTTAGCGCCTCAACAGCCTCTCATGAACCCATAAGGCACAATATACCCTAGTTCCATTTTCTTGCTCCTTCCCCATAAACGCCATGAAACTAAGATTGAGATCCATCGAATCCAAAGAAACCTTCAAAATTGAGGTCCCAAATCCATGTAATCTCCTTCAACTCAAACAAATCATATCCCAAACCTTAGCCAATTCACCCCTCATTGTAAACCCAAAATTGAATGGGGGTACTTATCCATCTTCTCTAGATAGATACTAGTTAAAGAAAGCTTTTTTTAGATCAAACCAGCTTCTAATACTCCCTGTCGGTATTTAACTATACAATATTTCAGTTACTCTGATGAGTGTAAGGTAGAAGCCCTACATTTTAATACAGGCGAGGCATCTCTCAAACTTATATGAGTTTTGTAATTGTTGATGTACTTTTTAGGATTACCTTTCCCTTCATACTTGAAATTTTTAGTGGTACAAAAAAGTTGGGGACATGGGCATTCCTCAACTCTTGTGAAAAAGGGAGATTGTCATCTTCATCATTATCTAGTTAAAAGGAATACATTGTCCATCTGAATCTTGTTCTATTTGGTACTAGGTTTGATGTGATGGTCCAACATAGTTTCTCAAATTTGCCTCGTCCCTTTTTTCACTCGTATTTCTAGGCAGGATACTTGTGGTCATTAGTCCGGCATATGCTCATGAGGTCTTTCTATATAGGATGATTGTTGAGACCTATTTCAAGGCATTGATGGACCAATTCGATCAAATACACGGTGGATTTTTGGGGCACTATTCTTGTTCATATTCTGGAAGAAAGTAACCATTCCTTAAAGGCGGTTTATTTGCAGGTCGGCTGGATGTATAGTTTGTAGAAACATCCACCTCTGCTTCCCTTTCAGTGGGGCTAATTTTCTTCCTTTGCCTATGAGAATGGCTCCCTTAACTATGTACTTCCTCATCTCATTGCTGAAAAACGCCTTGATGGGGCATATTTTGAGGCATTTGATAGCATCATTGCCCTTGCATTTGCATTAGGAGCTTCTGCATGGTAGCATTTTACGATGCTATATCTCTCATGTTGGCAACCATTTCCTCCACAACTATTGCAAGGGGCACAATTATCCTACCACCTCGATGGTGTTGGTGAAGGGGTCGATGGTGGTTGACATTATTTCAGATGAGGACTTCTTTAGAAACCTCCCTTACAAAGGAACCATCAATACTGGAACTCATGATGTGTGAACACTTCTTTTCCTCAAAGAGGGGCTTTGTAATTGGGTATACTCATTTTTTAAGGATCTAACACCCAAGATTTCGAACAACACTAAATAATATTTCCTTGGAACTTTTGCTTATTCTTTATTCAAGAACAAAATCTTTCTTCAAGCAGAAAGGTTAAGACACCATTCCAATAGGCTTCATACATGGGGATGTTCATAGTTATAGTGTAATTTCTCACTGATGGCGCTAATCTGTTGACCCTGAAAATTGTAATTCCAACATGGCCAATAGATTCCACAGCCTCTCCGGTCCACGTAAACATGTTCCTATACTCTAGAACAAATTGTTAGCCATACGTAGTCCTCTCCAGTGGTAGGGAGGCTGCTACGCGCATTCCAACGGTCAAGTCAGTTGACAATATAAGTGAATGAATATAGGAGGTGTTTTAGATGCGAGCTCTTTGTGCAGAGAAGTGGTTCGACTTTGGGAGAATTTATGTTAAATATAAAGACATAGTAAGGTTATAGGTTAAGAGTCTAAACTTGCATTATCTTAGAATGACACAGAGTATGCGTTTTATAGTAGAAGATGGGATGAAGAGACACGTGGCCTTATCCGAACGGCTGAGGTTTCTTGTCATGGGCATCAATCAATCAAATACATTTAATGTTAATACCTTTTTGCCACCTAAAACCTGACACATGGGGCTTGGACTTGATCTATTGACTTATTAGGGTTGGCGGTTGCACTGAATTATCAAATCAATCACTCATTGAAGATTGTATAAAAGATTTCCTGTTGAGTTACCCAGCAGCATGCCTCGTACATGAGGGTTTAGTTATCTATATGGAGTTGACTTCACCATATGAGTTCAACCACTCCAAAGGGATTCGACGTCCTCATGGGACGACGTAGAGGGTAGGCCCAAGTTCCCTTGACGCGTAGGTGCCACGTGATTGTACTTAGGGTCTCACTGAAAGAGGCGTAACAGAATTAGTGATTGTACTTTTCATTTATACAACTATCCATTTGTAGATAAAGATTTTTCAAAACAGAGAGAACGGAGTTTCTTGAAAATTAAAGGTTAAGAGAGGAGAGAGAGAGAGAGAGTGTGTGTGTGTGTGTGTGTGATAGGGCAGGTTCTGTGATTTTCAGTGCCTGAGGCGAACCTTATAAACTAGGCCCCCGAATTATTTTTCCTTTGATCCCTATGTAGTCACGTCCGTGGCCAGTGCGATCTTTAACTAAAGTCTGTTAGCTTTACAAGTCATAACATACTTGAAAATCGAACATGCATAGAAATGTGGGGTCATATTCAAGCCTTGTGGCAATGCGAACTACCCCTTGTACCTCAACAACTAGGTGAGAAAGAGTAGGAGAGTGAAAATACACTTATCAATTAATTACTCACTAAAAATTAATAACTAAGAGATGACAAAACAATTAGAATTATAAACTTATGTAAACATCAATCATATAGTATAAAAAGTCTACACACATCTGAATAATATTGAAATCAAATTAGCTCAATAAAAATGTCATACAATTTGTAAATTCTGATTTAAGTGAAAACAAAAATCACCAAAAACGAAAGAAATATGAAGGTAGAGAAAATCAATACAAAAAAATTCAATAAAATAATTTGGAACATATTTCAAAATCTCAAATTGTAAAAAGTAAATAATAACAAAAATTCAAATATTGAGATACACAAAAAAAATAAAATTGAAATCAAATTATATTAATAATAATCACCAAAAAATGAAAGAAATATGAGTTAGAGAAAAACAATGAAAAAATCCAAGAAAAAAAAA